ACAGTGTGAAGTTTATTTTCTAACCTCACAGAGAAAACAAACTTTAAAAATGTTAAAATCAAAAGTTTCCTTGAAGCAAACAGAGAATGAGTGAAGTGTTTCAGGCCCAGTGTAATTTATGGAAATCAAAATATTAATACCATGATAACTTTATCCTTAATTATCTGAACCTAGAGAAGTTTTAAGAATAATCCCTAATGTGTCGAATGTTTCTTTTTATCCAGTATGAATTATTACAGAGTGGAAACTCCAGAAATTAAAGTTTTGAGTCTTGGTAGAAATCCACTTCATAACTTCGTCTTTTTAAGAAGATCCACCAAAACAAAGTTTCTACCCGACCTTTCTTCTGGACAACAGAAACCTCCCAGTGAAATTTAACTCGTCATCTGAGTTTCTACATTTCTGTGTAAAATCATCAGAAAAAGCAGAAGTTCAGTTTGTGTTTCTTCAACGGAGCCGGTTTCGTCTCAGTCATGCTGACTTATCAGCAGGTGCTGAAAAAAATCATTTTCAGAGTTTTTACAGTGAAGATACAACAAAAGTAAGTTAACTGGGAAAATATGGAGTTACCCAAAAACATCATTTAAAAACTGCATCATCACATGGACCAAATATAAAATTAAATGGAAACTTTGGTATTTTAAGAGCAAAATGAAAATTATTTATATAAAAAATGTGATGACAAAACAACATCAAGCAAAAGAACAATTTCTTTCTAAACAAAACGCAGAAAAACAAAAACTGCAGCCGTGTGTCAGAGTTTGGTGAATATTTGGTTGTTTGTGGGTATTTTACTCAAGAGTAGAAATACTTCATAATAAAATCATTCAAGCAAAAGTACGCAACAGTAAAAACAAAAGTACATATTATCCAAAAAGTTACTGAAGTAAATATAACTAGTTTCTACTGACTTCTGTTTTTATAGTGTTTATAGTCATATTTGGCCTGAAGGACTAAAATATGGAGGTTTAACCTGTAAACTCTAAGTAGCTTCAAAGTGAATAAAATGTGCCGTAACGTCCTGATTTTAGCTCCAGTTGCCTGGTTGTGGATGTTTCAGAGAGCGAGCCGCCGGACTGTCAGCGAGCTGCAGCCGGTTCTGTTCTGCTCCTCCAGGTTTCCAGGACTGAAACCAAACTGGAACATGAAGGTTTTATCTGATTCAAACCAGCAACAAAACGGCCTGATGACGGACTTATCATCAAACATCTGGATCCTCCGTGTCTCTTCATGAGACGCCGGAATAAAAATCCGTCCAGGTCTTTATTTTCCCCTCTGCGCTCGTTATTCGTGTTGCATCGCGGAACATCTTCTTTCTCCAGAGAACGGTTCGTTTCTCTCCTGCGTGTGTCAGGCTGGCCGGCCTGCAGACGTCTGAACTCTTCAGTGACAGCAGGAATGAAGCGTGACGGCCAGCAGGCCGACGAGGGGAAACCAGAATAAAACCAAACCGTTAGCATGAGGCTAAATTCACATTTAAGTAAGAAAATTCACCGATTTATTTTTACCCTTGATGCAAATTAAAGTGATTCTGTTGTACTTATTTCTGGTTTTGAAGGTAATTATGGGATTTCTTTTCTTTAAAACTGCAGTAAACTGATAAAGTTTTTCATATATTTGTCCAAAGTGTCACCATGTTGTAACAGTTTATGAGAAAAGATCAACCTCCTCCCTGAGCGACTGTCTGACGAAATGCACCAAAAACAACCAATCAGAGCCAGGAGGCGGGGCTTAGCGCTGTCAGTCACCTTCATGTACTCGCTGCTAAATGTGCTAATGGCAGAGAAATAACTTAGTTACAGGAAAACTTTCTGTAACTTATCCACCGGTTAAATGATGATCACTAGCTAGTTAGCTTAACTAGCTAGTGATAGTTAAGTTAACTATCACTAGCTAGTTAGCTTAACTAGCTAGTGATAGTCAACTATCACTAGCTATTGTACTCGCTAGTGATAGTTAACTTAACTATCACTAATAGTTATAGTGATAGTTATATCACTATAACTAGTTATATCATCCCAGTCGCCCTCTCCCAGTCGGCCGACTGGGAGAGGGCGAGGGGGATGAGCAGCGTCACATGGAGGGTGATTAACAGCGCTAAGTCCCGCCTCCTGCCTCTGATTGGCTGACTGCTTGTTTCTGGTTAGCACTGGGAGAAGGTAGAGAAGCTAACTTTTTTCCCTCACAGATTATCTTCCTCAGAGCTTCAGCAAATATGTAAAAAATATTTCTTATAAAGGTTACGTGGCTGCTAACTGTGCTAATGCTAACGGACAGAATGAGAGTTAAATATTAATTTCCACTCTGCGTGTTTTTCCTGTTACTAATCATGAAAACCCCCAGACCTGTCAGCTCTTTGTCAGATCCCCTGGTTTGTCCTGCCTGTCGTCATTCTGGTAATCCTCATGTTCTGCCATTTATGGTCCAGTTAAATCCTTGGTTATTATAAATCCTGCTCATGTTGGGATCCTCCTTAACCTCAATGCATTCTGGGATATTCATCTCTCATCTCCTGCCATTAGCTAATATTTACCAAACAAAAGATACTATCTGTGTTTTCCAGTTTTTTTTGCAGTTTGTTGCGTCAGAACTTTACGTTGCCATGGCGTTCTCAGGTGTTCTGGACAGGTAGATCCTTAAAGCTGCAGTATGTAACTATTATGAAAAATATTTTTTACTTTTTAGTTGAAATTGTCACCATGTCGTCCCAGTTTATGAGACAATTTGTAAAAAATATTAAACTCCTTCACCTTCTCCCAGTTCTAACTAGAAACAACCAATCAGAGCAAGGAGGCGGGACTTAGTGCTGTTAATCACTCTCTGAAACGAGGCGAAGAAAGACAGTCCTGCAATCTCCTCTGGAACTGAGCGATCCGGTAACGTGTGCCGGTGGTTCTGAAGGTTCTGAGCGATCCGGTAACATGTGCCGGTGGTTCTGAAGGTTCTGAGCGATCCGGTAACATGTGCCGGTGGTTCTGCCTCCAGAGCCAGCAGGCGGGTTCGGCTCAGCACCCCTGAGCCATTTGATATCTTGCTAACGCCGCTGAGTGGTTCTGGCCGACCCGTCCCACTCAGTTATGACAGATCCAAACAAACAGAGCAGCCGGGCCGGGCCGGGCCGGGCCGGGCCGGGATGTCTTCTGCAGCTGAAGCGTTCATCAGCCAAACATCACTCATCTGCACACTAAACATGCTGAAGAGCCTCCAGATTTTCCCAACAGGCCGTTCAGCCTGAAGCCGCTGATTTCAGCTGCAATAAAACGTCTTTCACTGGATTTAGTGGGAAAACCTCAGAATCTCAGCCTACCTGTTTTACTAAACCATCTGAAACACAAACGGTTTCTAAAATGCATCAACCAAGACATTTAGAAAGCAGGTAAATGTGACACAGCAGACTGAACGACCCAAAAAGTCCAATCTGCTCCACTTCCACTAAATCGTATCTGATAGTTTTCAAAGCATCGTGTCGTATTTTACTTTTCCGTCATTGATGTGAGACAAGTTTCATAATTCAGCAGCAGAAGAAGCCGGACGGTAAATCTGGACGTAAACAATGTCTGAAAATGATAAAAATGAAAGAAGAAATCAGTCTGAGTCGGTGAACACATCACATCCCAACCCCACCACTCCTGGTCCGACTCCACATCCAAGCAGAACCGGGTCAGAGCTATCAGCTGTTCTGTTTACCATCTTTAGTGCCAGAGCGCAGCAGCATGAACAGAAAATCCAAAATAAAAATCGGAGTTGAGCACCAAGACCTTCTCTGTTAACGAAGTCAAAGACGAACTGGGATGGATGGAAGCTACTGATCAGCCACGTCCTCCAGTAAGGACCGGGCTGTCACACCTTCAGTCCGGTCGACCCGGTTCTACTGGAACCAGAACATCTGCTCCACCTCCAGCTGCTGTGGCTCTGAGTCCAACCAACCTGTTCCCCTCCTGGCCTGTGGGGGCGCTGCACCAAGAACCACTGAAGGAAACGACACAAAAACCTCTGAAGACTCTGAGAGCAACTTCCTTCTTCACCAGATGGAAACAAGATGGAGGCGTCAGATGGAGGATTTCTCTTTAGGCTAAAGACCAGGAGCCATTTCTGCTGCTAGCGCTAGGCTAGCACCTTAGCTATGGTTGGATTTACCCAGAATGCCCTGCGCTGTAGTCCACTTCCTGCTTTTGGAGCGGTCTGCGGTCCGCTTGGCGTTCACATTCAAACTGAACCAGAGTTCACTTCAACCGAACCCAGACGAGGTCTGGAGGCGGATCGGAGTTTAATTTGGAGTTTGATTCAGAGTCGATGACATATTCCCGCCTCCATCCAGGAAGTGATTCAGGCCTGGGGAAGTTCAGATCACGGCTCACATGCAACACTTTAAATGAAGAAACTCGTTCAGGATCAGAAACATCCACGTTCATTTCCTGGTTGTTTTATTCTGTGAGCTTAGAGAAGAACAGCTCAGATCAGCCCCACCCAAAGCTACGTCAGGTCGGTTTATCTGGGCTTTGAGACGATGCAGATCAACTGGGAATCAATAGACTTGAAAGAAGAAACCTCAGAAATGGATCGTTTTATCAACAGTTTCCTCAGATCCATTCTAACCAGCAGAACCAGATCTGCTAAGTGTTTAATGCAGGAACTGTTCCAGTGGTTTTCACTGGAGATTAAATATGACACACTGGAGATGAAAAGCCAGAAATGAATTATACTGGGATTGTTTGGAAATGACCTCATAACTCCTTCCAGACTGATGGGAGCAACAGTTGCATTAGATTTATTATTTATATTCTAGAACGGCGGCGCTCATGTCAGAGACTCGTTAGTTCTGATTTATTCTTTGTCTGGACTTTGGTTCGTCGTTTGGTCGAGGCGTTTCCTGTTTGGAGAATGAATCCTTCTGGTTCTGGAAGTTGGGAGGATTTTTACTCTCTTTCACTTTTGGCTGTTATGATGTGTAACCATGGCAACAAGGTGTTGCTTATACAACTCTGAGCAGCTTAGCAAGGCTTCAGAGAGAAACAGGAAGTTCAAACCGACACTTCCTGCCATCATGGCGGACAATAGAAGATCTTTGGCAAACAAAATGGATGAACTTCAAACCCAGCCAGGGTTTTAACGTTACTATGGATACAGGATCAGATCCAACATCTCTAACCATAAAACCAGACAGATTTAAAGAGGAGCGGCGAAAGCAAAGGAGGTGGATCAGCAGAGACACCCAGTTAATGTTGTGCCAGGACAGGTGAGAGGGTTCAGTAATCAGACAGGAATCTGCTGAAGCTGTTGGTGATGAAACATTGTAGCTGTGCTGATGTCAGAGGAAGCAGAGAAAGTTGGAGGATATAAAAGGCCTGAGAAGGAAGCAGTGAGCAGCTTCCTGAAAGCTGAGGTGTGACTCCAGAGCGGTTTCTCTGCAGGCGCTGCGTCGTCCTTCAGCATGCTCTGCAGCCTGAACGCCAGCGTCCTGATCAGCGCCCTGCCGCCGCTCATCCTGACAGAGTTTGCGTTCGGGTTCCTGGGGAACGGCCTGGCCCTCTGGATCTTCTGCTTCCACCTGCGGCCCTGGAAGAGCAGCACGGTTCTGCTCTTCAACCTGGCCATGTCCGACTTCCTGCTGAACGTGGCGCTGCCGCTCAGGGCCAGCTATTACTTCTCCGGGCTGCGCTGGAGCTTCGGCCCGGCGCTCTGCAGCGCCTGCCTCTTCATGCTGGCCATGAACCGCAGCGGCAGCACCTTGTTCCTCATGTTCATCGCCGTGGACAGGTACATGCACGTGGTGCATCCCCACCACCCCGTCAACTCGCTGAGCGTGACCAAGGCGGCGCTGGGCGCGCTGGGCGTCTGGCTGCTCGCCATCGGAGCGGACGCGCCCATCTTCGCCCTGCAGCACGGCAACGGCAGCCACTGCGAGAGCTTCAACACGGACGTGGACGAGCGGCACAGCCTGACCTGGCACGAGTTCGTCTTCCTGGCCTCCTTCTTCGTGCCGCTGCTCGTCATCCTCTACTGCACCGTGCACATGGTGCTGCAGCTGCGGCGGCGCCAGCTGGCCCACAACGCCAGGATCAGGAAGGTTCTGTACTTCATCTCGGTGGTGGTGGTGGTCTTCTTCGTCTGCTTCCTGCCCAGCAACGTGACGCTGCTGATGATCTGGATCTGGTCCAAATGGGCCGCCGGCTCCTCCAGGACGCAGGTCCAGACTTCTGTAGGAACCAGAAACGTTTTGGGAAAAATGCACCTTTAGGAGTATTTTTATTATGCTATGGAAGACCATTAGGGACACTGAATCAATTAAAAAAAATTCTGATTATTTTCAAAATCTGAATTTTATGAGTTTAAGGTCCAAAATCCTGAAAAAAGTAAAAGTTTTGAGAAAAAAAATCACAATCCTGAGAAAAGGCAAAAAATTCAGAGGGAAAAATTAATTTCAAACTTCTGGGATTAAAGTCATGAATATATATTTTTTCAGTGGCTCTAATCCTAGTTTTTACTTTTACTTGAGTGACTTTTTATGAAGGTTGCTCCTCTTCAGTAACATTTCTGTAAAAGTTCTGGAGTAACTTCACTGAATGAGGAACAAACTTGTTTTAACCAAAGATTCACCTGCAGGTTTTATTGAAATTTTATCAGTTTTATATTGAAAAAAGTCATTTGGATATATTTTCCCTGTTTTTTTATTTCATTAATATGAATTATTTTCCTTTTAACTCTCTAAACTGCCAAAATTTCCACATAACTTTATGTCATAGTCTGACACAATTATTTAGTGATTTTGTGAATTAAATTTTTTGATAAAAGGAATAGTGCATATTAATGAAACATGATGTAAATATGCCAGGCTTAGTCTGAGGCAGATTTTCATTTGTAAAATGATGGAAGGATTTAAAAAAACTTAAAATGTAAAGCTAAAAATAGTGAAAAAATTACATAATTGATGTTATGATCAGTTACTCTGTCGCCTTTTTACCTTCACTTTGACTATAATCCTGTCGTCTGTCCACCTGTGCAGGTGTGTCCTGCGTCGGAGGAGCTGGCCATCACCTTCTACGTCTCCATCACGCTCACCTACCTGAACAGCGCTCTGGACCCGGTCGTCTACTACTTCTCCAGTCCGGTCTTCAAGAACTTCTGCAGGAAAACTCTGCGTCTGTCTCCAGAGGAAACAGCCGAGAAGCGGACCAGGGAGACGGCGTCGCAGTCCATCAGTCAGCTCTGATCCCACCAGAACCAGAACCAGCGAGTTGTTATCCTCTATTCCTTACTTACATACAAGAGAAAAAACTGTTTTACTCAGGGCAGTAAAAAAAAGTATAAATAAAAGCCTTAATTTCTTTATTAATAATGAAAAAAAAAAATCCCTGAATATTCAGAAAGACTCGGAGGAATCGTAACGTCTTTAAAAACAAAAACTGTTGAATTTATTCAGATGTGAAACTTGGGGTAGTTTGTGATTTAGTTGTGATCTTTTATTATGTTTTATTTTTTAACTAATGAGGCTAATTTTGTGTACTAAAGATGATTATTATTATTATTCTAAAATAAAACAATGCAGAGGAAATGAATGATTTTTTTCTAAATATTTTTGGAAATGTCCTCAAAACATTCAGAGCCAAAGTTTATTCACTTCACGATCAACTAGTTGATCAAATCCACTAAATTTGTTCAACTATTCATCAGTTTAGGATCAACTAGTTTGTCAAACTAAATTCAGCTTTTTGTGCATTTCCAGGAGGAATGTGTTTTTCTTGTGTAAGCTCTAATCACCATATTTAAATAAAAAGGACATTTAGTCAATTTTAGTGAATTTATGTCACGATTTCTTTTTGTGATTTATTCAATGTTCAGATGAATTAAACTTTACAAACTGCAGCTGTTCTAAAGAATGTTTCTAGTTTTATTTTAGTCACTTACTAATCACATGCTTTCACAGGAAATGCTCCATCTATTCAGGGAGTTCTTTAAACATCACTTTCATTTCCGTTTCTAAGTTTGATATTTTTGAGTCTAATTATCTCACCTGAACCAAAAATAAACCTCCTGGGTTAGATGGGCTGATTTGCTTTTTCCTGTGAAGGATGAGCTCCGGTTCTCTGATGCACAGAAATGATGTTGCAATACGTACACAGAAGTTGTTTTGGGTTCCTGAAGAAGTCCAGATGAGTCGGCGCGTTCAGAACCAGAACCAGCCTTTCAAATGGAAACTTTCTGTTTTTGGTTCTGAGTGTCGCTTCAACTGGAAAACCAAGTTTAGAAGATGTGATTCATGAAATACAGTAGAAGCTAAAAGGAAGTAAAGAATGACTCAGCAGTTCAGTTCAGAAAAGTTCAGTTCAGTTATTTTCAGCGACGGAGCCAAGTGGACACTTCATCAGTAAAGTACATTCCCTACAGAGAAAAATCTGCATTAGTATGGGAACTGGCCCAGTAAGTAAAACTGGTCTGATTGGTCTGATATTAAGGCGATTCATGATTAGCTGTAACCAGGGGTGGAAATTTAAAATTTTCTCTGCCTGATAGAGAATTTTTTTTTTTTACCAGTCACTGTTTTTTTCTTTTGATTACAAACCCCACCAGTACAAGCAAATTATATAAAGTATATTTTTTATTCTTAACTCTATGAAAACCAATTTACTGACAAGAATTTTACTGTACATATGTACGTATGCAGACTAATTCAACTTAAAGCATGGATACCTTAGAGGTTTAACTACACAGCTCTAACATTCTTGCAATCATTTCCTATGTTGAACATTTCCACATTTTGGCAACAACTCCCCCAGACAGTAATTACTAAAGATGTGTCCAGTCATTTTTTAAATGGTATGAGTAGATGGTTTCAAACTGTTCTATTTGTTTTCCCTTACTTATTACGTTATCTATTGAAATTCAGAGTTTTTCAGTCTGCCTGCTAGCTTAGTGTTAGCTTAGCTTCCTCCTCCCGGACTCACTCTCACACACCTGCCCTCCTCCTGCATGAAACGCTCTTCCTTCATGAACATTTCCACTCATCATCCTCTGACGGTAATGATGCCGCTATCACTAATTTCCTCTCCATCTCCGCTCCTGAATCTGCTCCAGCGGGTAAAGTTTGTGTGATAAGTAACATATCGGTTAGCTTGACATATTTTTCTGAATGGGCTTATGCGCTTTTTAGCTTTTGTAGTTTTTCTCATATCCGCTCACTTTTCTCGGACTCCTGTTGGCTAAAATGGAGAGGAGGGGCGGGCCAAGGAGGACCGAGGGATTTCATTGGATAAGCCCAATGTCCGTCAATAAAATCAACCAATGGGCTGTCGCGGTCGATAAAAATGGTAATTAGTGTGTGTGTGTGTGTGTGTGTGTGTGTGTGATGAGAACTCTCTGCAAAAAGCGAATAAAGTGGTACAACTTCTCTGAAAGACGTTTTTTGAGCTTTCACGCTGTCCGCAGTTCGCTAGATTAGCGGCTGACCAAGCACGCGCGTATTTTGCCTCCCGGGAGGTGCGGAGCGGCGAGCAGAACCGGAGCGGCGAGCAGAGCCGTATCTGAGTCAGTCTTTTCAGCCCTGGAGCGCGTTGAAATAGAAGAAGTGTAGAAATGAGATGACAGATGAAGATTAGGAGGAGCAAACGGAGGAAGAGGAGAGAGTCGGCTGAAAAGTCCGGAGTTTGCTTTACTGTTTGGGAATGCTAACCCAGGAGTCGCTGCTAAACGTTCCGGTTTCTAACTCCAGCTGCTAACGGTTAGCATCTGGGTCAAAACATTTTCTCCTACATATCGGAATGGTTTGTTGCAAAGACTTATTCATTGCCTTCCAATTTGTCTTGATTTTGCGTTAATGCTTGCTAATTATGTTCGCTCTCGCTAATTTTGTACGCTCTAGCTAATGGAGTTAGCTCCTGCTAATGGTGTTAGTTAGCTCCTGCTAATGGAAAAATTACCTCTTGCTAATGATGTTTACTTCTAGCTTATGGTGTTAGCTCTTGCTAATAGCATTATCTCTAATTAATGGTAGCAATAGTAATGCATCCATAATTCCCAACATTTAAAGGGGCAGCATCCTGTAAAACTGACTTTTTTTTTTAATCTTTCCATGATATGTTATTCCCTAATCATAAACAAACTTGCAGTGTTGCTTTGATTCATTCATGTTTGAGGAATCCTTTAATCTCCATGGCAACCATTCAGCTATGCAAAATGCTTGGCTGGACCTAGCCCTGCCCCCAAGGTGCAGCTCTTCCCCCACTCAACTCCTTCAGACTAGCCAGCAGCAATTAGCAGACACCTGGTGGAACTGCTGAGCTCATTATAGGAGCTGCTGCTCAGAGCAGCGCTGGTAAAAACGTTAAAGGGTTAATAGAGAAGCCATGTTGGGATGACTTCCTGGAGGCGGAGCTTCAGAAACGGTAGGAATTTTTAAAGAGACAGAGGCCCAATTTCAAGGAGTCAAAGCAGAGAATAAAGTTTCTTATAAGTCATATTTAAAATTGATAGCATTTTTATAATAGCTGAAGGTAACAGTTACTTTATTATGCTGTAAAATGGCACAATGTGCTGGAAAACACATGATGCTGCGCCTTGTGTTAGCAACCAGAGTGGGAAGGAGAGTTTATTTATGTCATCATTATGTTAGCTAAAGCTAATCTGTTAGCCAAAGCTAACGTGTTTCCTCCTCTGTGTGGGTGCAGGGTGCCGCTGGGAGGCAGGCTGCACATCTCGTGTGTAAATCTGCTCTGCCCCGTGTTGCACTGTGGAGGGAGATGATGAAGAGGAGGATGAGGAGGGGGGTTCCCCTTCACGTGAAGCAGCCAATCGGCTGGAAGCGGAGCAGCGGCGGTGGATTGTGAGCAGCAGCAGCATCCCTCTGCCTCCAGACGGAGGTGATGCTCAGGGATGGAGCCGGACTCCTGGATCCAGACCAGCATGGCGGATCGGGTCAGGCCGCTGCAGACGGGACTGGAGCTGGACGGGACTCCCAGCAGGAAGTGAGGTGAGATGTTTGAGCTGAAGCTGCTTCAGGGACAGACATGTTCTATAAATATCTCAGCTTCCTGCAGACTGTCTGTCAGAGCTGGTAGAGTTGGTGATGAAGAGGCAGCACAGCGTCGCTCCTCTTCCTCCTCTTCCTGTCTGGATGCTGCTTCCTGTTCACTATTGACGTATTGCAGTGGGAGCTGTGGTTCCCAGTTGGCCCTATTCGCTCAGGTTGAGGCTTCCTGTTTGTTGTATTTGTGTTTGTTTGCGTTATTCTGTGTTTTCCAGACTGAACTTTGTGTTCGCTGCAGGTTCTCTGACTCACCAAGCTCTCTGTCATCACTTCCTCTCCTCTTGCTTTCTGCTTTTATTGCTTCGGGTTGATTCTCTGGTTCTGGATTTAAGTTGAAATTTTCTTCTTGTTCCTGCCTGGAATCGTTGCGATTTGTTTTAATTTATTTCACTTTTGAACCAGTTGGGACTGTCCTCCTCTTTGTTGCTTGAATATTTGTGTGAACTATCTCTGGATGTTAGGAAAATAGAAGCGGATCATTTTGATGATATTTATGTGCCGTCTGATTGGTCAGTGACTCCTCTGTGCGCTGAGGAACCAGAGTGAATGTGTGTATCAGCAGCTGGCCACTGAGCATGCTCAGTAGCATCCATTCAGACAGACATGAGGTCTGCACTCTGTTTGAGACCCGTTTTATTTTTTAGCTTTTCGTTCTAGTTTTTGGGGGTTTATGGTGCAAACATTTGAGTTTAACATCAAAACGCAAAAACAGTGAATTATCTAATTAAAACTACTGTAGTAGTTGCAATTAGTAGTCTTAATTTAATTGCTTCCTTTCTGTTTCCATGGCAATTGTTTCCTTTTTCTGAGTGTCAGGGTGAAGTCCAACAGATTTACTTTCACTAGTGNAGGGTTACAGCATTTTAAATGATGCACCACCTGGTATAAATATAAACAGATTTATTAGAAATTGCTTGTATTGTAATTTTAAATGTAACAGAGACTGAAAAGAAATCAGAAAGAACAGGAGAAATGTCCGAAGGAGAAGAGAAAGAATCAGAGAGAGAATACCAGCTGATGCCGCAGAAATCTGCTTCTACACCTGCAGAAAGAGAGAAAAACCAAACCAGACGTTTATCCTGATGTTTCCTGCTGGGTTTAGCGCACAGCCTGTCCTGTCAGTTACTTTAACCTCTAAGGTTGATTTAGACTCAGCGTGTCGATGATTGCAGAGGAAAACCTGAAGATGGTTAAACAGATTCATGTTAAATTGTCTCGTTGTAGCAGCGTTCTGAGATATTTTACTGACTTTAATCTGTAAATCATTTATTTACAGTTTATTATGAAGTCAGTTAAATTGTGCAGTGATGATGGAAGAAAAGTGAGAGGCGAGTTTTGTGCCATCTGCCCAGATGTTTGGTGACAGAAAACATTGTGTATCGATAAGCTGCAGTCGGTGCGTCGTCTGTCCCCTGGTAGCAGAATGCCACGTAAAGAAAGGTCAGATCAGCTCATATGAAAGAGCTGCAGCTCCGGTCCAGAACCAACGCGCCCTGACCTTTGACCCCATCAACACCAGTAAACATAATGCATTAAATCCGACCTGATGTTTGTTCCTCCCTGAATCAATCGGATGTTTTTCAGTAACTTTCCTCCCAGACGAAGCGTTTGTTTCTGTCAGGACACTGAATCAACACCACCGCAGTCTTTAAAGCTATTATTGTTTCTCACATATTTTTCTTTTAATGTTTTCACTGAAAACAGCTAAAAATCGTCCATGTGTTCAACCTTTGCCCTCTTGCTCAGTTCTTATTAAGCAGAAAAGCAGAAAGAGCAAAGCTAACCCCGCTAAGCGCTCCGATCCAGTTTGGACGCAGCGGTTTTGCTTTAAATAACTCCATTTATGTCGCTGTATTTGTTCCCTTCCTGTCTGAAGAACGCGTCTGGCTGCAGATTCATGTAATCTGAGCCTAAACTTCACTCTGAGTTATTGATTATTTGGGAAAAGTGCTCTTTAGTAACGTGAGCCCTGGACGGGGGGGTCGTCATGACGCTTATTAATAATGCATGCTTGGGCCTGCTGGGATGCCGGAGTGGAAACACATGCAGGCCGGTAATAAAGGCCACATGGTCCCACTGAACCGAACGGAGCTGCAGAAAACTGCAGATGCATTTTAAAGATGGAGACTTTTACAGTGAAGTCATCAGGCCTCAGGTTTCTGAAGGTTGATGTTTCCTGGATGAGAAACAAACGGCTCTTCAAACTCCCTACAGCAAAAACAGGCAAAGTGTTTAACATGAAAGAGCAGAGTTTTATTAACTCAAACTACGATAAAGATAAATTCATCTGACTGTGTTTCTACGGAGTCTCATTAAGTTACACAGTCAAAACTTAACAGCAAAGATTTGATTACTTAACCTTTCTAAAGAAAAAATGGGTTAATTCTGCAAAGTCTTTTCAACATCCAATGTTTAGCTAACAGCTAATTAGCAGCTAGCAAACCAACTCATTTATGTAAGCAAGCTAAATATTTAGTTAGCAACCTCAATATTCGCTCACCAAGTTAAATAGTTAGCAAGCTAATCATTTAGTTTACAAACTAAATATTTACATCCAGACTAAATGTTTAGTTAGCAAGCTAAATAGTTATAAAGCTAAATATTTAGCTTAGAAATCAAATATTTACCTCTAAGCTCAGCTAATTTGTTAGTTTTGAAGCTAAATTGTTAGCAAGGTAAATGTTTATGTAGCAGGTTAAATAGTTATCAAGCTAAACATTTATTTTCTAAACTGAACATACATATTAAAGCAAGTCTTCCCAAAGCAGCCCAGATCATCACTCTGCCACCACCATGTCTGACTGGTCCTGGGATCTTCAGGATCCGTTTTGATTTCTGAACATGTACATTTTTCTAAAGACAAGTTATTTTATCCCCAATATAATGTTGTATTAATTTAGAAAAACATTTTTTATGCGTGAAACTAACAAAAAAGTAAAATTAATATTAATTCAGAAGGTGAAAAATTGAACCACTGTTTGTACTTGCAGAAGAAATTGGCTGTTTATTTTCATAAAATATAAATATTACATATCTATATAGGCCTTTAATACAAGTCATTTAATAACATTTTAATGCTGTAATACAGAAACAAAAGTAAAGGAAAATGTAACAAAAAATAGAAAAAATGGACTTCAGCTGCTTTGGCAGGAACAAAAACCATCTTCTGCATCTTTAAATAAAACAATGATCAATTATTTTCTGGTATTCAGGGTGAAAATCAACATTTTTCTCCACCAGCCTGGTGCCGCTGCGTTACGTTCATCAGTCTGGACTCCAGACGGTCAGAAGTTCAAACTGGATGCAGTTTTTATTTTTTCTGTTCAAATTGTCAACAGTGCGTTGCTCCAATTTACACGCCACTTCAGATTTTTCCCGTATTTGTCCAGTGGCAGCTGCTAGTTTCTCCCCTGATTGTATTTATTTTAAAATAAGTAAAAATAATTTTAAATCAAGTAAAGATAATAACTGTTGACGTGTTTAGAGCAATAAAATAAAGCAAAGTTGTAATAAAGAACGACTGACTGATTTCGTTCAGAGTAAAGAATCTGTTCAGAAGAATCTGTTCAGAAGAATCTGTTCAGAAGAATCTGTTCAGAAGAATCTGTTCAGAAGAATCTGTTCAGAAGAATGTGTTAGCTCGTTCTGCATCATGACGATTCGTTGCTTTTTGAAATCCTTTGGCCTACTTCGTGTTGTTAGTCCTTCACCACCGGTTATCATCAGCTGGTTTCCATTTCCACACAGGTTGGTTTGGCCTCAGTAATTTAAAATGAGATCATATTTGTTGGATATTAAACTTTTTGTTGTGATGTTTATTTTGAAAAGGCGTTTCGTGCCTCAGATGGAGCAAAGGCAGAAAGTGTCAGCAGGATAATTACAGGGTGTAACTCTGACTGCGGCTCCTCCTTCCTGGGCTTTCCTCAGGCAGAGGAGTGAAATAACTCCATCCCACCAGGCGCTGGGAAACCAGCAGGACATAAAGTTTTCATGGCTGATTTTAAACCCTGAGCAAACTGAACCGTCCCTGTGAGAGCATCAGCCGTCTGGAGCAGGAGGAAAACCTGGGCTGAGTAAATCTGACGGAGGATCCGGGCTTCCAGCCGCAGCAGGGAGGGATGGTCATTAAGTTCATACAGGTGGTTTATTACTGAGCCGTAAAGAACAGAACATCCAGGAGGAATCGCGTCTCGTGTCTAATTTATTCACGGAGAGTCCAACAACAAGATGATGAAATATCAAACCACTAAAATACATAAAACCTTCAACAGGAGGAGCAGACCTGCTGCTGCTAGGAAAGATGTTGGGTTGTTCTTGTCGGAGCAACTGCTGCAGGCGGCCCAGAGAGCTGCAGACGGTCCGCAGGCGTTTACATTTACGTTTACGTTTAAGGTACAATAGTAGTTCTAACGGCCTGGCGTCGGGTTCTGTCTGTTCAGACCTGCCAGCCGCCTGCGGCCCACGCCCCTCATGTTTGGCCTCTCCTCATCATTCCTGCATGTGAGGAATGTGGAGCCGGTATTTGAGCGGCTCCAGCGGATTCCTGATGGACCAGGAGGCGGCGGGAATGTTCGTGAACGGAGCGAACACGCCGTCCTGAACCAGGAATGTTCCGGATCAGAACCGCCCGGCTGATTGAAGCTGCTTCTCCTTGTTTTGTGTTTGGGCTTCATTTCCTCTGAGCGGCTCCTGTTATCCCAGCTGGGCCTGTCGGCCTCGTCGCTCAGCTGCTTCACTTTGTTTACTGTCCTGGTTGATGAGGGAACTTTACGCAGAGCGCCATGGTTAACTTCAGCTCCACGGGGATCCAGGTTTCACTCGGGACGAAACTGTTACTCCAAATCTGGGGTGCCCAAAGTGTGGCCCGTGGGCCATCGGTGGCCCTTTGAACGATTTATTGTGGCCCCAGAAAGCTACAAATTTGTCCTCCAGTGGACAGTTTGGTCATTTTTTAGAAGGAAAATTTCAATAACAAATTTAATTCTTCTTTAAATTATTAGACGCAAAGTATTTTAGTTTTAACATCCGTGATTTAATGTTGCAGTAAGTAGAGCTGTAAACATTCAGCCACTCTTCACTAAAGCAAACCAAAAATAAAACGCATTAATTCTTCTGTTAAACTTGGTTGATAATCGGTTCTCATTTCATTGCTGGGAAAAGACAAAAAGATTTTCTAGACCAAATAAACTCGACAGTTTTTACCCAAACAGTTAGCAAACGGTTCTCTAATTCAGGTTTGGGTTGATTTAAATCCAGTGACTGGAGGAAAACTCTGAGTCATAAATGAGATGATTTTATTATTATTTTTGCTTTGGGCGTTTTGTTTGCTGGAGCTCCAGTCCAGCCCAGTTCCTCAGGCGAACTGGGCTGGACTGGAGCTCTGATGTGGGGAGCCACACCTTCCTGTTTGTGGAAGAACAGAGGAGGTTCTGACCCGGTTCTGATCCAGTCAGAGCAGAAACAATCGAGTCTGTTTGGGATTCTCCTGCACGACTGCCAGCCAAAGATTAAAGACATTCCAGCTGGTACCTGTTCAGACAGGTACACACACACCTGTAGGGGTGGGGGGAGCAGGAGGGTCGGGGAGGAGGGGCAGGGGGGGCTCCACCCTGCATTCAGGATGAACCACAAGCAAACAGTCTGACTGTCTCTGAGTCTGAGTGGAAAGACGTTATGGTGGCTTGTGCACATGTTGACTCACACACACTCACACACACACACACACACTCACACACACACACCCACACACACACACTCACTCGCCCCAGTGAGGCGCTGAAACAGACGGCTCTCTGTACCTTTTGCTCCCCGGAGCCGCTCACCTCCTCTCCGAGCCGCTGCTCTGCCACGTCGGCGGGAAGCTCCTCCCTGCTCCCCGCTGCTGCTCCGGGACCGGACCGGGTCAGGAGTCCAAACCAGCCCAGGTGTTCAGGTGTTTACCTGAGGAGACATGAGTGGATTCCTCTACAGGGGCCGGTAAGCTGCTGACTCTGGACCTGTGGGGATGGAGGTATTTCTGCGCAGTGGACGGGTCCGAATGCGGCTCTCTGCGGCCGTCCTGCGTTAGACCGGCCGCTAACGGCTTTAGCTCTGCACATGTTCTGCCTCTTCAGCTCAGAGGTTCAGGCGGCCGCAGATGATCCTGTCAGGAAATCATCTGGGTTCAACTCTGAGCTGCTAGAAATGAGCTCAGGTTTTATGACAGAACCACAGTAACAATGTTATTATTAAAGAAATAACTTTCATGTAATGATAATAAATGTTACTGTGTTACATTTGTTGTTATTATTTACATGCACTGTGCCTTTAAAGTAGTGGAGTCCAACGTTTTTGCCAAAAGTGGCAAATTTAAACAGCAAGCAGGGAACAAACATTATTAAATTAAAAATACAAAAACTTGTTTTTCTGTGATTTTTGTTGTTTTGTTTTACCTGCTGGAAAACAAACATTTATCAAATCTGTACATTATTAAAGACCAAAAACATGAACTGCTTCAGACTGCTAATGCTAAAGCGCTATATAAACTGTTTAGCGTTGGCTAATGCTAAAACGCTACATAAACTGTTTAGCGTTGGCTAATGCTAAAGCGCTATATAAACTGTTTAGCGTTAGCTAATGCTAAAGCGCTATATAAACTGTTTAGCGTTGGCTAATGCTAAAGCAGAAGCCTAACGTGGTATTTTGTGGAAGCTAATGCTAAACTGCTGATTTGAACCATACTGGTTTGGATGTGTGTGTTTGTCAGGCTCTGGGTTTTTGTTCGTGTTTCTTTTCATTTGTTTTTTCAGCAGAATAATAAATGATTTCATTATGAAGATGCTGCATCAAAACAGACTGAAGAAACGCTGAAGCTAGTTTTTACTCTGTTCATATGAGCTATGCTGATTTCTGTATGAAGTCCAGTTAAAGTAATCCAGAACCGCTGCTGAGGTTCTGAAGCGGAGCCTGCAGTCTCCTCTGGATCCAGCCGGTAATGAGCGGTTTGGGGAAACTCCTCTGACTGGAGGATCTGTCTGTTTACGGCGTCTTCATTGGTGAGTGACGGCGGTGTGACCTGAGGCATGCGCTGACTCAGAACCCGCTGCAGCCTGACGGGTCGGCGCGGCCCGCCTGCTGCAGCGCCTCTGGAGGGTTTCTGCTCCGAACCAGGAGCGTCTGGACGATCCGCGTGAGGAGACGGGTTCTGGGAGGCTTGGCTGATCCTGTCTCTGGTTTCAGGCACGGCGCTGCAGAGAGACCGGCCCGGCCCAGGAGCCTCGGACCCATGATGGGTAAGAACTTCCTGAAACTTTTCCCTCCTCGCTGCGACGCCTGTCACAAAAAGCAATAAATCAGTTAATCGCATCGTAAACTAAAACAATCACTTCCTAGTCAAACTGATTGATCATTCTTTGCTTTTTTCTCTTAATAACAAAACCTGGATGGTAAAAGTTTCAGTCTGGTGTTTTGCTCTCATCTAAACTTTTCTTAAGGATCATTTTGTTTACAGAAACTTCATAATTCATTTAGTTTTTCTGTTGCTTTATGTATTTATTTTAGATCTTTAAAATGTTTTCCAGTTCCGTGTTAAATATTCATCAGAATTTAAAGTTTGTAGATCTTTGAGAATGTGTTCTTGTGCTACTATTATCCTCATTACCATCAAATTACTGGAAATTTGTCTCAAAACAATATTATAGTTTATTTCAGTAACTTCTGGGACGATTCCAGTAAAACTTATCATGACAGAGCGACTCGTTGCTGCAGCATCAACACCTGATTTCAGTTTGGCTCTGGAAACTTTTTTCTTTATTTAAAGTTAAACATTATCATATTTTACTTGTTCAGATCTAAAATAATGTTATTATTTATTAAGGATTCATGAATTTATGTTTAAAGTAACTAACCGAACAGTTTCTGTTTCTGGTTTGTAATGATGTTAAAAACAAGCACCAGGTGCACAGCTGCTCTGATCTGCATGGCTCATAATTATACATACAGAATCTAATATGGAGGTAAATTTGGTGCAGCTGCTGGTTTCTGGTCGACCAGCAAACAGAACAACTGGAAGGTCCAAGAAACTCAACAGTTTATCACATAAGTTTGTAGATATTTCAGATTTCAGATGGTCTTACCAGAAAATGCCAGCTACTAAAATCCACTTTGTCCAATAAAATAAATAATCTTCCTGAAATCTCATGAGACTTCATCATGAACCTCTTTCATAAATGTGTCCAGAACCGTCGGACCTTTAAACCAGTAAAACTCAGATCCTTCCTGTTGCAGATCTGCTGCGTCTGTAAACGTCATGTGGACGTATTTATTCACAGATAATCAGTTTATAATGAGCTGAACGAGTCATATGTTCCTCAGGAAGCTCTGAGTTTTCCAGCTTCAGCAGCACTAATATCAAACTGCCAATACGGAAGCCCAGATGTGCCACCATTCTAAAAATAAAAACTTTTAAAATAAATTAAATTGTAACAAATATATGAAAACAGTTAAAAGTGCTGAATTTGCATCATAAATATAAACTAGAATCATAAAAATTCCCCACAAATATTTTGAATATTTCTCAAAATATTTCACATTTACAGGCCAACATGAAATAATTAAACAGCTTATTTGATTGGTCAGCCTTTCCTGGGTCAGTCCGTTAGTCCCGCCCACTTCTCTTAACAGTATCCTCATATATTTATGATGATAAATAAATTAACGGTGTGTTCCCCTGTTACAGCTGGTTAGCCTGAAGTCAGGTTGTGCTGATGAACATCTGAACCTTCAGAGTCACAAAGACGGTTACAAAGTCGGCCTTCTATCACCCTAATGATAGATTAAAGAGCTGACGTTGTTTTTAGATAAATCAAATCTAAAACTTGTTTAGAGCCGCCTTTGATTCATAATAACTGGATTATCATTCATTTTAGGCTGGATTACATAATTCTATGACTTTTGTTTATGTTACTACTGTAATGCAGCACTTGTAAGTTGTTTGTTTTTGTCATGTAAAGCTCTTTGAACTGCTTTGTTGCTTAAATGTGCTGCAGAAATCAACTTATTTAGCTCTTTTAGAACATGCTTCATCTCAGCAGATGTTTCTAGATCACAACATTCCTATTAAAACGGGACAAATAAACAGTTTGTTTTCATCTTTTCTTGCTTTTCATGACATTAATCTAAAATGTTAGAATTCAAAGATCTGCTGGAAGCTCGTAAGACAAACTAAATGAAGAACCTTTGAAACTTTGTAGTTAAATTGCAGCTTGTTTTTCTTCTGTCTTCCCTCAGATTTCTCATATGATGAAACAGGAAAAGGTCCTCCGGTCCAGATGCACAGCCTCAGGGAGTTCGAACAGGTAAGAAACATTTCATGAAACATATCTGCGTGATGCAGGCAGCTGAAGGTTTGGCCTTCTGCTGCCTGTCGGAGGCGTTCAGGCTTGTCTCTGCTCGCTCTTAATCACTGGTTAGGTGTGTTTGGAAAGATGAGGTGGCAGCTGGAACAATGTATGAGTCTAAACGCTTCCCTCTGCAGAAGCGCCACTGTAATTTCACTGCTGACGTCGTTTTCCTCAGCGTTTCACCATCCAAACACATTTCCATGTAGCCCTCAGATTTACCGTCTTCATGCTTTTCTAAGTGAAGTATGGTTTATTTATAGAATGCTTTTCACAGACAGAATCACAAAGCCTGGGAAAGTAAAAGTGTTTTCAGTTGCTTTTTAAAAACCACCACAGAGTCAGCAAAACAGAGCGATACGCACACAAGCTAAGCTAAGCTAAGCTAATGCCAGAGGGGTGAGAGGAGCCAAAAATTAGACTAAATTAGCTCAACATTAACATATTTTTACTCAAATAAAAGTAAAAAAGTATTTTGTAAAATGGCTACTCAAGTAGTAGTAGCTGATCAAAACTGATCAAAACATTAATCATTTAATGTTTAAAATTTGCATCATCAGATGGACCAAAATCTAAAGTTGTGTGGAATTTTTGATATTTTAAAAATTAAAATGAAAATAATTCATATAAATTAGCAAAATTAGAAAATGACAAAATCAAGAAAAGGAAAAAAAGATGTTTCAAATAATTTTTTTCAATATAAAAGTTATGAAACTTTAACAAAACCTGAAGTTTGTTCTTGATTCAGTAAAGTTTCCAGTGGCTAGAGGATCCAGAAATTTTAGTCAAGTAAAAGCTACAGTAAAATTACTCCTAAAAGCACATTTCTTCCTCAGAGTAAATGTAACTAGTTACTACCCAGCTTTGGCTAATGCTAGTGCTAAAGCAGTATAGATAATTTCCCAATGAATATAAACCTGTTGCTGCGTGACATCAAGTGCGCTGCAGCCCGCGCCCGCCTCTCTGCTGTAGGGCAAAAAGCTGCTTGCTAACGATGACTAGCATTGAGTTTAGCTATTTTAGCTACATAATGCACAATATCTTAAATGTATGCCTGATATATAAAAGAAAAAGGGATGCATTGCTTTGCTACTAATTGTCAACACTAAGACAATTAGACAACAAGGTCAGGAAAAGTTTTAATTAAGAAAAAAATAGGGAGGGAGAGGGAAGTAGTTCATTTATGCTAGCTTGACTATGACAACTTTAACATGTAGGTGTGCTGTGGAATTCTGTGTGTTTTGGTTCAATTAAAATAAGAAAAGGCGACCTAAACTCCCCTTCATCAGTAGGGCAGGTGTTTGACCAACCACTGCTGTGTTAGCTTGGCTAATGGCAGCAGTAGCTAATCTACCACAGCGATCATTTATTAATTGTAAAACAAATAATTCTGAAAACATGACACTGAAACAGTGTTCTGCTCTTTGTGTGGGAAATTTTTGAGTGTTTTTTTTGGGTGTTGAATCCTGAAACATAAAGCGGCGTTGTTGTCAGTTGCTATGGCAGCGAGTCCGTGTGTAGCGTAGCCGATTCAGGGATAGGCCTGTCACGATAATAAATTTAGCTGAGCAATTAATTGTCTAAAAAATTATTGCGATAAACGATAATATTGTTTCAAGACTTTTTGACACTGATTTAATGGAAATTACTAATAATGTCTCTGATTTCCTGCCATAGATGCACTTTATTTTGAAAAGAACACATAACACTGGAACTGATTAACTAAACAACCAAAAACAAAAATAAAATGGATTCTCAGTCTCCATTAACAAGAAACGTACTTGAATAAAACCTAAACAACATGAAGCCAAAGTGGGAATAAATACTGCATTCAACCAAAAGAGAGCAGATTATGAAGTCTGTATTGCCCTTCAGTAATCGGTAGATTTAAATAGAGAAGATGGGCACATCCTACTACCTGATGCAGTAGCTCATACTTTACGATGTTCTGCCCCCATTTTCCCCTTATAACAATCTTAGATCGTTGGCCGATCTAAGATTGTCGCTGGTGATTTCGTAACCGATCATCCTGCAGTGTGATGTATATCGTCGTGGCTCCGATGTAAATCAGGGGTTTTCCCCGAGTTTAACGCTGAATGTGACAGGTAGCCAATCAGAAAGCCGGATTAACGGAGAGGAATCCGGTGCAACAGGAAGTCCAGCATCGGAGATGATATGTGGAAACAACATTAATGTTTATTCAACATTTTGTGCAAAGAATATAGAAATGACAAGAGGAGGAGTTGGAGCCAAATTGTTACCGCAGCTGATAAACCCGGCAAGTTCTCAGCTGTTCTTCGTTAACGTGACATAAATAGGTTATAATGATTTTCATTCAGTCAGGACTTTACGCTGACTCTAGCCACATGCATCACAGGTAGATTCTAGTAAAGCATTGATTAATGCCTGGTTATAAAATTAGGTAACTGGACTTGCAGCCGTTATTTTGTGCCCATGTGACTGAAAACCACACGGCACGACGAACCCGATCGAACCGTTATACCGAGGATTTCTGTCGGCCAATGTGTCTCTCAGGTTTAGAAAATGGGCCGCTGGACATTACACTAAGGAAATGAGGAAGGGAGGGTCAGTGGAGAGACCGGAGCTGAGCCTGTTTTCATTCAGTGTCATCAACAGAAAGGAAAAATGGCAGGAAGAGACGATAAAGCCGATAATTAAAATGAGGTCGATAGGTTTCATTTATCGTGCGATTAATTGATTTATCGTTTATCGTGACAGGCCTATTCAGGGAGCAATCAAAGTGGTTTTGAGTTGTTCTTTAATGGTTTTTCTGCGTTATTTTTCCTTTGCTGTGGCGCAGTGCCGCCATGGATGGCATGTAAGGAATCATGTTTTTGGCCTCCAGCGTCAGGCGCTAAATTTCCTGACATGTCCCAATAACATGAAATGGATCTATTTGAGCAGATTTCTTCAAACTGGGTGAAATGTGCCTTTAATTTCACCCAGAATAACTGGGTTATTAGCTGTTTATGACCTTATTATCGAACTGTGCTCATATTGATGCAGGGAATCAGTAGAAAACTTGTTGGGTTTTTTATGAGCCTCCCCTGATGAGGTGGAGCCCTGGGCGGTGAGCCATGTAGTCCAATCAAAAACAGCCGTTTATAGCGAACAGGCAGGTGGGCTGTTACCTTTAAACTTTGTCAGCTCTAATTAGGCCGGCTGAGGTAATTACTGGGGGAGTGACTCACCTCCTGGACGCCTGCGAGGATTTTCTGGAAACGCAGGTGAAAAAATCTGGACGGCGTCCTGAGACTGACAGCTTTTAGAGCGGCTCCGGGTCTTTAACCCGGGGTCAAACCGTTTCTAACGTTTAATGGCTTCAGAAGGCTGAGTCATGCCTTTAATGCATCCAAACAGGCCGCGTGGCGTTTCCATGTATGAGCTGTGACTTACGGAGCGGGTTTATCTGGGTTACTGTGACTTTAAATCAGGACTAGAAGCAACACGAGTTTAATGCAGGATCCCACAAATGTTTTTATTGAAGTTTACAATGAAAAAGATTTGAAACTCTTTCATTTTTATTTCATTAAAAATTAGAAACATCAGATTGAAAACATTGAAAAGCTTTGAAAGTTATTTTTATGTATCCTTCCCTTTTTCTGGTTTCATTTGTATTAAAACATGAAATATGCTGCGGTTGATTTGGTGACATGGAGTCAGAGTGTTGGACTCTGACCAATCAGAGGCCAGGGTTCAGAGGGACACGCCCACTCTCATTAACTCCCATTGTATTCCAGTGAATGGTTCTGGAGAAACCGGACCTGAAGGTTCTGTTTGACATCTCAGATCTCCCACTGAAAACATTTAATATGTTTGTTTCCATCAGAAGGTTCTGATTCTCTGAATTATTTTCACTCAGCTCTTCATAAAGCTCCTTTTTGTTTGAGGAAAATCTGTTTCCTGCTGTTTGTTTCTCTTCCTGTTTGGGCCTAAAAACGATGCAAATCACCATAGCAACCAGTTAATTGATTACCAGGACATTTACCGTGAAATAATGTAAAACACAATTTGTTCATGATACTGAAGTTTCTGTTATTTTACATTGGAGCCTTTTTTCTTTCCACTGCAGTTTTTCTCTGGATTTTTAAAATGTTTCTGTTTAGTTTTTCTTTTGTTCACCGGAAATTTTCCCACATTTTCCATTGGAATTTATTTTGTTCTTTGTTTTAATTTCTCTGGGGTTTATTTTACAAACCTGCTTCTCAGAGCAGATCATCCAAGCAGCTCAGTAGTAGAAATGAAAGCCTGAGCTCTCCGTCGTTATGGCTGCGTACCGAGGGAACCGGCTTCCTCCCGTTCCGACCCGATGACGAACCGGTTCTGCTGGTTTCCATCAGCGCAGAAGGAAAACCAGCAGAGATGCTGGGATCCAGTGTTCCTGAACGCTGGAGGACATCGGGCCGCAGTGGTTCTGGTTCTGCTTTCCTCGCAGGGCCGACGGGTTCTGGGAGCCCAGCCAGGATCATCACGGTTCTGATATCGCTCAGGAGGTTCTGTCCATTTACAGAACCAAAGAGGACAGGGTTCTGGTTCTGATGAGCTGGGATTGGTCTGGGAGAGTCCGGGTCGAATCACAGAGGAAGATGAACAGATGGGAAACCGGAGCAGAACCTGGACTTTGATCCAAACGCCGGTTTCCTCCTGAAGAACCAGAGCTGGTTCTGTTCGAGTCAGAGAATCGTCTTCTGAAGAACCTCACGACGTTTTCACACGGATCCAACCGCGAAGCACAGAGACCAAACGTTTTACAAATAGGATATTTTAGCCACCAGAACATCTTCTAACACGCAGATCATCCCGACCGGGGTTGGGTCGGAGTCGGGTCAGGTGGGTCGGATCGGATCGGAGTCGGGTCGGATCGGAGTCGGGTCGGATCGGAGTCGGGTCAGGTGGGTCGGATCGGATCGGAGTCGGGTCGGAGTCGGGTCAGGTGG